TGAGGAGTTGTGATCCCTTGGAGGAGGAGAGGTGTTCTGGTTTCGAGTGTTTTCATCCTTTTTGCGCTGGTTTCTTCCCATCTTTATGGATTTATCTACCTGTCGTCTTTGTAGTTACTGACTTTCAGACTGGGTCTCTGAGTGGACGTTCTGTTTGTTGATGAAGTTATTTCTTTTTCTTAGTTTTCCTTCTAACAATCTGGCCCCTCTGCTGTAGGACTGCTGAGGTCCACTCCAGGCCCTGCTTGCCTGGGATTGCCTGTAGCAGCTGCAGAGCAGTAAGGATTGCTACCAGTTTCTTCTTCTGCCATCTTTATCCCAAAAGGATACCTGCCAAATGTCAGTCTGATCTCTCCTTTATGAGGTGACTCTTTGGATATACAGTGGTCAGGGAGCTGCTTGAGGAGACAGTCTGTCCTTTATTGCAGCTGAAGTGCTGAGCTGTGAGCTCTGTTGTTCATTCAGAGCTGCTGGGCAGGTACGTTTAGGTCTGCTGCAGCAGAACTCATAAACCACTTTTTGTTCCCAGGTGCTCTGTCCCAGGGAGTTAGGGCTTTATTTATGAGTTTCCACTGTGCTGCTGCCTTTTTTTTTCAGGGCTCCCCTGCCCAGCAAGGAGGCAGCCTAGTCACTGTCTGCCTGCAGAGGCTTTGCTGAGCTGCTTTGGGCTCCGCCCAGCTGCTGTGTAAACTTCCCTGCAGTCTTGTTTATATGGGTGTAGTTAGAACTGCCTCGGCAATGGTGGCCCGCTTCTGTATTGGAAGACTCTGTCTGTAATGGCAGGTTGCCTTGGCAATGGCAGATTGCCTTGGCAACGGCAGGCATCCTCAGCAATGGCGGGTTGCCTTGGCAATGGCAGGCTGCCCCAGCAATGGCGGATTACTTCCGTAGTGGTGTAGTGCCTCAGTAATGGCGGACGTCCCTCCCCCACAGAGCTGGACCATCCCAGGTTCAGCTGCGCTTGCTGTGAAACTCTCGATCCAGAGAGTTTCTGATTGCTGTTCTTTCGTGGGGGTGGGACCAGCTGAGCCTGATCACCTGGCTCCCTGCCTCAGAGCCTTTTTTTCCTTTTTATCCCAGGTGTTCCAGTCACCTGTTGAAAGGGTGCCGGGATCTGTGTGATTTCCCGTGCGGTGACCCACTGCGCCGGCTTAAATAGCGGCGCTGAGATTCGTGGCACTTTTTTTTGTCCAGGAATCTCCTGGCCTGGATCCCTGTTCAGTCCCCTTTTTTATCAGACGAATGGGCGACTTTCTGGGGCTCCAATTGCCAGCCAAAAGGGCACCCGGACCAGTGTATTCTGTAGGGAGAACTGCCGGCCAGGGCGCCAACAGAGCAGCTGTGCCAACCAAAAGAACCCCACCGGCTAAAACAGCCGCGCTGGCGACCCATGGGGCTCCTCCACCTGGTAATCTCCTGGTCCATGGGCAATAAAAATGTGGTGTCCACTCGTCCACTCACCCTCTGTGCTTTCACTGGGAGCTGCAACTCT